CCATGATTACCATCGAGTTGAGCTCAAACGCCCTGCTTGTGCGTTCATATCCCTACAAGTATTATGATATCTGAACTAGTAGTCATGTATAGTAGCGTGTTCAGTTCGTGACAGAACGTGCCTTAGCAGCATCAGAACTGCTTTCGGCGGGAGCAGAAGAGGAAATCACAAACAAACAGCGCTTTGTAATACTTCATGAATCAACCTTAGTTGATGTCGTCAAACGGGTTGTACACAAACGGCTGTTCACGGGAACCCAATTAAGCAACGATGACTCAGCCTTGAGGCTGATATCAACATCAGCTTGACCCGTGAGTGCTGTATCAGTGTCTCCGGACGCGAGCAACTAATAGCGAGAGGACAAGCCCGGCACAGTTAATTCGACAACCCCATTAGGGTCACTGATCCTAGTTTCAGGCACATAACATAACAGAGTGTAAACGAACGCCTCCAGGGAAACAAGAGAGCGCGGCCTTACAAGGGACTTTTGCAGATAAGCATCCGGTGGATGTTGCGGGAAGATTACTGCAGATGGTTTTACTCTAATGGTACTTCGGTTGCTGTCAATTAGGCTGGGAATTATAGACGGAAGGTTAGTAATTGGTGTCGAATGGGAGTAAGAGAAACAGGTGGAAAAGCAAGAAGGGAGGTACCAGCGGTAGCATGTTTTCGCTTATCCGCCCTGCTGTATTTATCAGATAAGGCAACCTTTGATGAGCTGCGAGAGGGACGATGCAAAATATAGTTAACATTTGAGGAAACTGTCATGGCTGTATGTGGGCTGGGATACTGCCAGGGTGCCCAGACCTAGACAGGAGGACGATTAGGGTCCTCAACCAAAGCCTTTGGATCGAAAGCCTGTCCGCAAGGCAGCAGGAAGGTAGCAATGATTTAGTTTTACAGAAATGGAAGCCATCCTATTTCAGACTTCCAACCCGGAGGACTAACTATTGATCAACCTGGTAGGAATAGCTCTAAAGGTACCCGATGCACCATCTAGTAGAGCTCAATGGATCAAGGATGTACGCAAACGGTCGCAAGATGTTAAGGTCCAGTCTCCTCGCGACAGATACCAGTCGAAGCGGGTTGTAAAATCAGTCATCATCAGTCAACCTCGGCCTATTCCGTTAGCAAAAAGTCAAGCAGTCTCAGCGGCTTTACAAGACATGCTAACAAATGATTTGATTGAACTGATCGATCACTCTGAGTGGGTGCATCCAATGATAAGTGTCCTGAACAAAATTGCATCGTCAAAATATGCAGCGATTTGCAGGGGTTAAATAAGTAGAGTCATCCAACGATCCGTGCTGCCATCCAACGAGGAACTCATTGTACGTTTAGCTGGTTCAACCGTTTGCTCCAAGCCAGACTTGAAAAGTATATTCTTCCATATGCCATTGGCCAAAGATTCGAAGCGCCTAACTGTCTTCCTTGTTCCCTATAGTATATTTCAATACAACGTGTAGTCAATGGGCTTAAATTCGGCGCCTGTTGCCTGGCAAAATTCATGACTCACTCCGTGGCAGGTATTGGTGGACAAGTTGCGTACCTGGATCCTATTTGTTTCTTTGGTCGCACGTTAGAAGAGCATGACGAGCGTTCACATAAGGTTCTGCATCGACTCAGTGAACTCGATCACCGTTTGAACACGAAAATATGCGTATGTAGCGCTCCTGAGGTTCAATTGCTGGGGCAGATCATTTTTCGCAGTGGCATTCGCCACAGTAAGGAAAATATCCGTGCCACAGTTGACGCGCAGTTGCCTAGTAACTCGACGGAACTATAGTCTATCCTGGATATATACTCTTACAATTTGCGATACGTTCTTGCTTTTGCAATCAGGGCAGATCCACTATGGAAACCGACAAAAGGAGGGTTACCTTTTGTTTGGGGAAGTGAACAACAAAATGCCTTCGACGAACTGAAAAGACGGATTTCCCTCGCACCATTTGTTGCAACCATGGTGCTGTAGCACATGTGGTCGCGAGTGCCTGAGTCAGGTAGGTCTAGTGAGCCATGAGCGAGGCCACTCGGGGCCAACACCGAAACGACGACGAGTCATGCAGAGAACGTAGGCAGAACCGGCGCAGCGTCTGTAGGTGCACTGCATTCGATTTACGAACCGCATGCTTGCGTGCTGAGTCTCTTTATTTCAGGTGGTGGGTTTGTTGTATTGGCCTTAATGCTATTGTCAAGCTGAACTTTCTTCTATAAATTTGCACACGTCCCTTAAACTGCTTTAGTTAGCTCCAATAACATTTTTGCGTTTGTGGCATTTTCTTAAAATAAATATTCTGATATCTTAAACTTATTGTGCACTCGTTCGTAATCAATCTATTTCATATGCTTATTTAGTGAGGAGTTATGTCACCGTATCTGTATGCGTTATTCCATTTATTTTAGGCGATACCGTTGTTTCAAGTGATTGGCTGTCGCTTGATATCTCCGATGTCCCTGCGCTTGATGCGCATGTTGACAAGGTGCTTACCTGTCCATTACCCACTACCTCGTCCATACTGGCTCCAGGAGACAGTTGGTCGTTGCTGGAGGGAAAGGAGTGCACGGTCCTCATGGCCGTGATAGGTTCGAAAAGTGGTTCCATGCACTCAGTGTGAAGCGGATCACGGTCCATCCACCGCCTTGTGTGCGATTCATGCCAAAATAGAGTGTACTTGTGTTTGTCTGTGAAGGAGTGTGGGCCGGTTCCATTGATGAAACGCGGATCCCATCCACATGCCTCCCGGTCTTATTCCTTCGGGTTTACACTGGATATGGTGTGTGTGGATGGAGCCGTGAGTGGTGCAGCGCAAGCCACGCATGGTCCCTCTGTAGGCGCAGGCGTCATTTGGCTGGCCATAGTGACAGGCGAATCCGAAACCGGATGCCGTCAAGTATACATACTTTACACTAGGGCTCCAAATCGAGGGGCTGCTTCCGACGCAGTCTCTCCAAAGCTAACTAATCGCGCTGAAATCGATTTGCCCTCATGACGGGTCTAAGGCTATTGAACGCCGTGTCACCATCCTGTAGGTGGTGTGACGGAAGATGATGTACCCAAGAAATAAACAAGCATCTTTACACATGTAACAACTGCGCACCGTTATCAGTACGGGAGGTTGTACTACGTTTGCCACTCAGATGTAGCCCACCATTCGACATATTCCTAAGTTGTGTTCATATCGCCATTTAGCACTGCAGTATCCGTGCTTCGTCTGCAACAAAGGATCTCGTTCAATCGATGGTAGAAGTGAGTTTTCACCCAACCAGCTCTGCGGTTTGAAAGCGTATGCAGCAATGACAAACAGGCACCTTTCGACTACGCGTCCCTTTGAAGCTTTGAAAGAGCTGGCCAGCTGGACTGCGCTTTCGGCTAGCGACGGATTCAGTTTACCAAAGTACTCTCAGTCACAAAGCTCAGAGCAACACCCACACCGTTCCGACCGATGATGGAGTCTGCATTTTCTCCAGATAGAGGCAGTGAGAAAGTACTATTACTGCCGCAGTGGAGCACAGAGCCCGAGTCATGTAGGCGCGGTCGCAATAAGCAACAGATTTCGATCCACAGGGTCTCTAGTGTTCGGGCAAGTTTAGCGACCTGTAACTAAGTGCGCATGTTGATGCAGGCTAGTCTTAGCAAGGACCGGGGGCGCCATACAGAAGTATGAGATGAGGTTGTCCGCACGACTGGACATGGACTTGTCGACAAGTGGCAAGTGATTGTCTGAGTTGGAACTATAAAACAAGCGAGAATCGAAGTAAGGTGGGGGATAACCAAGTGGGGATGGAAACAGAGATAGAAAAGTGAACTTGGAATGGAATGGTAAAGTTAAAAACTCGTAATATGGAGAATAAGAAAACTGTAAGGCTTGAGCAGTAACATCCTCGCCAGCATCCACCAGCTCGATGCAACAGACAGGGCGCTGTTGGTTATCCTATGCGGATGCCAAAGCCTAAGAAATAGTTTGAGGAAAAGCTCATTGCGTTTCGTGGTCAGAATCAGATGGTATATCAAAACTTCATCTGGAGGCAACAAACATTTCAGTTGTGTCGCGGGCAGCATACTGTTATATTGCTAAGACCCACAGAGAAGAAAGATTACAATTCGCAACCGGATCTGCTTGCGAGGTAGCGCGAGTTAAACAGTGGGCTATATAGAGTTCACTTTGAGGAATAAGAAGCCACGTCTATTTGAACCCCGGAGCTGGAGGATCAAGAGACAGATTTTTGTTTAATACGTAGCCACTAACAAACAAGCTATGGGTGACTCCGAATATGAAGAAAGTACCGCCCAGCACAGCTCAACGGACTGTTTAGTCACGCAAACGACCACACCAGGCTAAGGTCCAGCCGCATTGCGACTACAAACGTAATTAACTAGGTTCTTGCGCTAAAGGATACACAGCAAACGGTACAACATAGACAAAACACTTGAATTAGCTGAGGTGACCTACGCTACCTTTAACGGACAGGGATAGTATGGTGATTTGGAAAAGTGATTTCAACGTAGTTCCAAAATAATGGATGAATAAGTAGCGCAGGAAATAACGGCGTGCGCACATGAAATGGCTTTCACATATGTTAGTTAGGGGCAAATTACTTGATAACAGTACATGAATACTCCGAGCAAGAGGGGATACATCAAGTGACTAAATTTGAGCGTCCATTCGTTCAACTAAACCACAGTGAACAAACGTGTTCTGTGCAAAAGATACGGTCGATCAGGATTTTAATACTCAAAAGGTCACGAAAATGAGCATGAACACAGGAGCCAGAAACAATGAAGACGGAAAAGGTACGCCGGAACATTTGGTAGTGGCTGCTACCAAACGTTAGGGCACATTGATTCTAGCACCCGGGTGCTAGATAGGAGAACAGGAGTCCAAACTATGTAGCACGATGAAGGTTAAAAGGATAGCTATATTAGGCCAAGTTAGATCTCAAGAAAGCAGCAAGTTTTAATGCCGATCTTTACACGCGAAAACCCCGGGAACAAAACTCACATGAACTTCATGTTTCAAAGCGTCTAGTTTTGCGCCAAGTTCGCTTCGAATCTTTTCGCATGCCTTTGCCGCAAGTTCTCGTTCGCTCTCAAGTAAAATCCGATGGCGGGACTCTGACTGGGTGGCAAAACATTTGTAGGTCAATCAGAACGTACGTCTGCGAGCTTTTCTTCCGCAGAAGCCAGTTTCTCTTCATAGCTGCGCCTAAGATTACTTTCCTTATTCAAACTTTCTGATTTGTAACCGTCAAAGTCACTGGATGTCAAAATCAGTTTCTAGGAAAATCGGCAATATTTAAAAAACAATACTTCTTCTAGTAAGGACAAGGAAGCTGTCGCTTCTGCTAAGGAGCGCTCCAGACATGATATTCTTGCCCTGCTTTCGTTCTGTAAATCATCAGGAACAGAAAAGGAACCATACTTTCAAAGTTTTCAGTTGTCCCACCAGGTATGATTTTAGCGTCTCGCTGTCGCCAGCAATCAAAGTTAGACTCAGGTGAACGAGATGCTTGAAGTTCGTAGCCTCAACTATCTGGAAAACGCCAGTATGATCCTTCGACGGGAAACAAAGAAACTTCAAAAGGTACCTAAATCTTATTGAAAAGAAACAAGGAGTCGCACTTCGGGTTTGCACTATTCTCTTGCTTGAAGCACAGATCAAGGAGGTCAACAACTTTCTGGCTAAATCCTTCAAAATCAACTAACAGACCCTGTTGAGCTTTGATGCTAAACACTGACAAGTATACCATACGTTTACCAGTTAAAATCCTCATCAGATATAGAGAGGGAATATAAGAAGTAGAGGTCTTCCTCATCAGAGAGTCTGACAACTAAGTTCTAGTGAAATTACGATAGAACATTTAAAATGCTACCTTGCGGATTGCATCATGATCTGGTTCGAATGTAATATTTACATGTCTTTTTCTAGCGAGTGATAAAAAATAATGTACATACTTCAACCCGGAACAATCTTCGAAAACGACTAAGTGACGCCTAAAGTATCCCATGGGCATCCATAACCAATCGCCTCAGAGGTACCAACAAAAATATGTGAAAGACTTTTATTCAATGATACTACAAGTTGACAACCAAAGTACCCAATGGTGGACAAGTTAGTGTTCCAAGTTTAGTCCACTAGCGGCAAAGCCGGGAAAAATGATGGCCTTGAGAGACTTCGACGAACCCGCGTTAATAATATAACATAAATAGTGCGTTTAAAAAACAATAAATGTTTACGGTTTAAATTTATTTTTGTTTAATTATATAGCTGTTGCGCTGTTTGTATATATATGCTGCGCATGCTGCTGGCTAATCTTCGTAAACTACATTGAACGGGGAAGCGGTTTGCATGAAAGTTGGTTTCCCCTTGGTCTTCCAAACGAGACGCATCCAAGACGAAGTTCCGCCCCTTTAACAGACCCCTTCCGCGCAGCATGCACGTATACTATATATACTTTTGTCCGGTTGCAAACCGTTTACGATGGAACATTGTACTTGATGACAATCTTGGCTCGAGCTTTACATTACCCATAGGGTAAAATAGGTTTTCGGGTCTGATGAAAAGCCACCCAATCTTTTGTTACGGACGACGTAACACTCATTAGTTAGAGTGATAAGGGTACATTGTCCAAAGAGCTGGGCACTGCGGCAAGTGGTCCTATTCATGAAAATTGCCCTTAAACGCTAACCAATGCCAGCTGTTATAATAATCAGTTATCAGTAGTATATTGCGAGGTAAAAGCCTAAGCTTGACATCTCCCAACGAATGATCGGTTCGGGATGAACAAAATAAAGGTAAAAATGGCCATAGACTTATTGATTATATTCAAATTGCGAGCTTGCCTATTACTGCTTTCCCGTCCGTTTTATGTACCAGGCAAAGTTATGGTGTGGGTACCGTACAAAAATGTAGGTGGGTTTGTTTTTTTTGTTTTTCGGCAGTTTGTTTGGCTCGTTTGGAGTATGTAAGGTGGTGTAGTGTGGTCAGTGCGCTATCGTCACGTGGTTCGAAACAGACTAACGTGCGGACTAAAATAAGTGCTTCTGATAGGATAATCCACGTGTGGCAAACACGCAGGGCGAAGTTTCTTCGACATCTCAACCGAGGGTTTAGTTCTGGTAACTTGTGATGATGACGACTCAGTTACCTGTTATGACTCGGCTTCAATTGGTGATGGCAGGGGCGCTTAGTGTCGTTTAATATTTGGTAAATCATGATTAGGTCGCCACGCAAACGTGGCTTCCGTCCGCTGTAAATGCAGAGCACTTTGAGACGCTGTCCATATGACAAATAGCTCAGCCCTTTGATATATTTGGTCGCCACCGCTGTGGAAGATCCAAGGTCGTGAGATTACTCTTTAGCCATGGGTGCAATGCTTGAATTCCATATTTAACATATGGCTGTATATACGCGCGAAGAATTTGGCCGAAAATCGACGGGGCGGATTGTCCAAAAGCTATCCGTAAAAGCCACACAATTTGGATCCCCTTCTCCGATGCCTCCTTGGACTGCTCCGGGCAGCCTAGATCTTCCTGAAACAACACACCTAGATACTTACAGAGAGAACAGTGTTGCTTGCACTGATCTCGCAGCTTATATGTCTAAACCATTCGAAGATTTAAATGGAGTACGCGACAATCCACCACATGGAAGGAAAAGCGATTTTTGACCGACCACCCATAAATCTCGTAAAAGGTCGATGTGAAGCCAGACAACGTTTTCTGGAGCTCTGCTTACTTGCCAAGCTTTGATGCCATCGGCGTTGATTAAACGGTTTTACCCAGTTTGTATCAGTAGATCGTTTAGGGAGACCGAACATAGAGGGGGCACACATAACGCATTCTGTGACACACTGCATTCAATTTGAATTGGATCTGACATGGTTACATGTACTCTCACCGCCACTCGCCTGTGCCAGAGACAGTTGCAGATCCACCAGAGAAGAGGGACCCCAGTGTCACAAACTTGATATTTGGTGAGAAGTATACGCTGGTCCAACCGGTCGAATGCCTTAGAGAAATCAGGGAAAGCCGCATCACCGCTCGTATCAGAGTACATATTTCCGGTCCAGCTGTATTGTACTACCAATAGATTGGTTGTGCACGTGCGATTCTGGTAGAAGCCGTGCTGCAGTTGAGCAATGTAACAAAAGCTGTCCAGATAACAAATGACTGCGTGCGCAATGGTAGCATCCATTAAATTTGAACGAACTGGCAGGCGAGTCACTAGTAGTTAAGTAGCTGCGTCGGAACGATCAACTCCTTTTACCTGTGTCGCAAATAAAGAAAGCTCGCGCCGTTTTGTCAGCTAATAACCTTCAATGCGTCACGTGCGTTTTTCCACAAGGTACAATCGAGCAGATGCTGAGCGATGGAGCTGGCAGGGAGTTTAAGTCCACTACTTGCCAGGTTCCATGGAATATATCACATGCTCCTAGTTGATAGCCTTCGCTCGGTTCGACCAATGTACATGCTACCGCAAGTACAGGTAAATTGGTAAACACATGAGGCGGTAACCTGAGCTTGAGGCCTATCCAAGTTGGATTCATTGAACAGATTACTGGTTTGATGCAACAACACGAGCTCAGGTGCAGAGTAGCACCTTGCAATGGCTTGGTGTAAGCGGTAGCACATTCTACTGTCGTTCTGTTCCCCTTTGTATGGTTGCATGATTAAGACTTTTCCTTTGGAACAGTCGAAGTTTGTCAACGAACTCAAAAGTGTCTTTTAGACTGTGCACCGCTAGCTAGCACGTACAGGCTCGAGTCGCAGTGCCAACCATCGTGCCAGTTTCTGGTGCGGCGCCGCAACCATTGAAAGGATAGGACGCAGTGGAAGCTCTTCTTTGTATAGTTTCGCAATCCATACACACATGGAAGTTTTGAGCCGCGGGTGCGGAGTTCCACCATATTTTTGCATGGATTAGTTCCTCCTTGTGTTGTGTTCGTAGCTCACGCGCTATCGACTTCTCTACTATTTACGTTCTTTCCTTCCATGTCAGATCTCCAAAGAATCTACACTCATTCGTGAGCACCGAATGCGTCAATTGAAACTAAGCACTTTTACTCATGAGGACGACGCCGGCCCCTTTCTCAGGTTTCAGTAACACAAGAGTTTCCTAACGCTCAGTCACCACCAAATCCACGCGCTATCGGTGGGCTTCAATTTCGCTGTTCCCCTGGTAAATGCGAACGCATGGGGTTGAAGCACAGTTTGCACACCTACAAGCGCAACTTTCTGGCCTAACCGCCAACTGCAGAGGCGAGTAGTTGTTTTAAAGTCAAGGCAGTGGGCTTGACTAAACAGTTTGTCAACACAGAGGTAGAAAAGTCATGTGTTTTCACAAATGAAACATTTCGATTCATTGCGACGGCTGCCCCGAAATGAGAATGTTGTGTTACTGAAACCTGATAAAGGCGCTGGCGTTGTCCTCATGAGTAAAAGCGCTTAGCTTCAAATGATGCATTCGGTGCTCGCGAATGAAGGTAGATTCCTTGGAGATCTGGCACAAAAGGACAGAAAGGAAAAAGTAGAGAAGTTGACAGCGCGTGAGCTACGAACACTACACAAACAGGGAATAATCGATGCATACCTGCGACGCTCCCATGGGCACGGAATCAATAAAGAGCAAAGAAAAACCTGCACTTCACAATCCTGACACACTAAAGAACCTAGAAAACTGCTCTACTCAATACAAGCCACCTGAGACGTCCGACTTCAACAGATCCAACCACTTACACTCGACTCCGTAGACGACTACACGGCCACGGGTAACAAGTTGGCGTTACCTGACTGCGAATATCCGCGAGGGTAATAAATAAATAAATAAATATTTATTCTCGACTATGCGAGGTACGCCAGTTGAGGCATGATCAGATGCAAGCTTGTCAATGTTATATCACCAGCCGGCAGTGTTCCAGGACGTGTAGGGTCTTCGTCTGGCAAGCGTTTTCCCTACAAAAAGACAAAAATGTCCGTTTAACAACACTGAGACGTGGCGGATGTGACTCGCCACTCAATAAAGTCACCGCCCCTAACCCTGGCAAGTTGATCGATATCACCTTTACAAGTTCTTTGCATATATCTGCTCTCGCACGAACACGCCTACATATCTGTTTAGTGACCTGCCACTATGCTTAAGTATTTTGCACCCATTTCCACATACTTCAATCACCTGACCCACTGCGTACTGGACCTCATCGGACTAGTTCCTCATCCACATACCATATTATTATCTCTACCTCTCGCAGTCTGTGTGCACAGACTTCATATAACCTTTGGACCACATGGGCCCACACTACTGTCTCCAAATGTAACACTCCCGCTGTTACTGCTGCTTATTCTGTTATCATGTACAATATTGTAATATGCTGATCATGCCCAATAAAAGTGTCTCGCTTTATCGAGAATAAAATATATTTATTTATTTAAAACTAAGGTGGAACTCCGCACCCGCGGCTCAGGACTTCCAGGTGTGTATGGATTGCGAAACTATACAAAGAAGAGCTTCCACTGCGTCCTATCCTTTCAATGGTTGCGGCGCCGCACCAGAAACTGGCAAAATGGTTGGCACTGCGACTCGAGCCTGTACGTGCTAGCTAGCGGTGCACAGTCTAAAAGACACTTTTGAGTTCGCTGACAAACTTCGACTGTTCCAAAGGAAAAGTCTTAATCATGCAACCATACAAAGGGGAACAGAACGACAGTAGAATGTGCTACCGCTTACACCAAGCCATTGCAAGGTGCTACTCTGCACCTGAGCTCGTGTTGTTGCATCAAACCAGTAATCTGTTCAATGAATCCAACTTGGATAGGCCTCAAGCTCAGGTTACCGCCTCATGTGTTTACCAGTTTACCTGTACTTGCGGTAGCACGTACATTGGTCGAACCGAGCGAAGGCTATCAACTAGGAGCATGTGATATATTCCATGGAACCTGGCAAGTAGTGGACTTAAACTCCCTGCCAGCTCCATCGCTCAGCATCTGCTCGATTGTACCTTGTGGAAAAACGCACGTGACGCATTGAAGGTTATCAGCAGACCAAACAGCGCGAGCTTGCCTTGTTTCGCTGAAGCTTCTGCCATCCGACGATTGAAACCAAACCTTTGCAACACTGGTAGACTTTGTTGGCGGTCTTGCCTTACCTTGGTAAGACGTAGGCAATGACCTAAGTTTGCTTTGTGTTATCTTG